CCCCAAAACCCCAAAACCCCAAAACCCCTATGTCATTAGCAACAATTGAAAAATATTACTTATAAAAATGCAGGATCAAGACATCCCTACTGAACAACAGGATATGTAGGCTAATTTTGACCTTTTAGTGAAAAAATCTTGAAGTACATCAAAGAAGAAGATGTTAATAAGGAATGTGTAGATTTGCCTTCCAAAACATTTTTCTTCAACCCGATTCATCGCAAATATCTATTTCTAAAGTACTGCGAGAGTTATATCTCAAAATGTAAGAATTTGATTAAACTTACCATTTAATCCATTTTTATCTGGCCAAATCTACGGTTGTGAGGGTATTGGCACTCTTCTAGTGAGAGCTACAAGTGTTGTATCTTACGCCACCAACTGATACTTGCCATGTTACTCATCATACTTTGAATATAGACCAAGAGGTAAATCCTTTGTGTCAAAATAGATGATCATCAAAGTTTCACAAGATCTTACTGAAGAGGACCAGGACCTGAAAGAAGGTGAGACATGAGTGTTTACATTCATAGAGCTAAAGCAAGAACATTTAGAGGATTATTTGAAAGAATATGAGAGTAAACCACTTGCTTCAATACTAGGAATCAACTCTTCAAAAGCTAAAACTGGCAAGGAAAACAAAGCTTTGTTCAAAAGAGCTAAAAAGCTGTAGGTGCTCTATGACTTTGTGTAGATATACTCAGGTTAAGAAATCAGCAGAAGGCTTTAAAAATTCTTACCTCTACAAAGAAACAGCATTGAGAACATATGATAGGGTTCCTTGTAGCATAAGATCAATGCAAGAATATATCTTCCCAACCTATCCATTCCAACTCTCCAGTGGATTCCACATGACTAGCCTAAAGGAGACCAGTAAAAATGCCTAATCCCTTAGGAAACATTCTCAAAACGACATCTATAGATCTTGATCAGGCCAAAAATATCGGTATACCTCTTCTATTGCTCATTTTTAACCTAATTTACACTAAACCTACCTAAAAATCCCCACAAAGCATTTTTGCCTCTTATTCCCACTCTGTGGCTTCAATATATATATCCCTATCTAAATCCCCCAAACCCCTACTTTTACCTTACAAATCTCGCCTTGCTTAGACCCCAAGTTGCCCACTTGGCTCTTCCAAAAAGCCAAAATTTCCTTCACAAAATTTTTGAAAATCTTAAAATTCCAGAATTTCTCTTAATCCCCTGTAGATCTCCCAAATCTGAAGTAAGCACTCAGTGTTTCCTATGTAGAGCCGAGAACAAAGATTTGAAGGAGAAATACAAGAAATATAAGAAACTAGCTCATAAGTACAAAGGCATGGAGAAGTACAAAGGTAAGACACCTTTGTAGCACAATCAGGCTATTATCTCGCTTTGAATTCAGAGCTGAGGCTGAAACTGCAAGATTATGAGGCGATTAGAGAGAATACATATTCAGTGCAATCCTCTGTACCTAGCGCGTTTGGAAATTTTAGACATATTTATGATACCTTATAGAAATTTGCAAGAAATTAAAAGCCCTGAAAAACAAGAAGATTGCTATAAGCTGTAAGTCTCCTCAAAAGAAGGAAGTCAAGATAATCGATGATATAGCCGATAGTAGTGATGAAGTTATAGACTCAGAGTTCAGCAGTTCCTATTATGAGAACAGTCTTATCAACCAAAGAGTCGACTTGGATAGTCTTTTAGACCAGAGCTTTCCAGAATAAATCTTTTAATTTCAATTTAGATGGATATTTTAGGGGTTTTGGGGTTTTGGGGTTTTGGGGTTTTGGGG